GGCTCACAGAGCTCATTTTGAGGTGCTCAATATGAGGGAATATGAGAGTAATCTTGCACTTTCGTGGGGCTCAATTTACGGTGCTCAATATGAAGGAATATGAGAGTAATCTTGCACTTTCGTGGGGCTCAATTTACGGTGCTCAATATGAAGGAATATGAGAGTAATCTTGCACTTTCGAGGGGCTCAATTTACGGTGCTCAATATGAAGGAATATGAGAGTAATCTTGCACTTTCGTGGGGCTCAATTTACGGTGCTCAATATGAAGGAATATGAGAGTAATCTTGCACTTTCGTGGGACTCAATTTACGGTGCTCAAAATGAAGGAATATGAGAGTAATCTTGCACTTTCGTGGGGCTCAATTTGTGGTGCTCAATATGAAGGAATATGAGAGTAATCTTGCACTTTCGTGGGGCTCAATTTGTGGTGCTCAAAATGAAAGAATATGAGAGTAATCTTGCACTTTCGTGAGGCTCAATTTGTGGTGCTCAATATGAAGGAATATGAGAGTAACTTTGCACTTTCGTGGGGCTCAATTTGTGGTGCTCAAAATGAAGGAATATGAGAGTAATCTTGCACTTTCGTGGGACTCAATTTACGGTGCTCAAAATGAAGGAATATGAGAGTAATCTTGCACTTTCGTGGGGCTCAATTTGTGGTGCTCAAAATGAAAGAATATGAGAGTAATCTTGCACTTTCGTGAGGCTCAATTTGTGGTGCTCAATATGAAGGAATATGAGAGTAACTTTGCACTTTCGTGGGACTCAATTTGTGGTGCTCAAAATGAAGGAATATGAGAGTAATCTTGCACTTTCGTGGGGCTCAATTTGTGGTGCTCAATATGAAGGAATATGAGAGTAATCTTGCACTTTCGTGGGGCTCAATTTGTGGTGCTCAATATGAAGGAATATGAGAGTAATCTTGCACTTTCGTGAGGCTCAATTTGTGGTGCTCAATATGAAGGAATATGAGAGTAACTTTGCACTTTCGTGGGGCTCAATTTGTGGTGCTCAAAATGAAGGAATATGAGAGTAATCTTGCACTTTCGTGGGGCTCAATTTACGGTGCTCAATAAAGTGAAAATACGCCTTATTTCCACCCTTACTGTTGCTCAATTCCGTAATTCTCCATTTCTAACAACTTCTCCCGTTCTTGGTAAAGTGGTTAACTTACTTATAACAGAGAGAGAGTAAGAGCCGTGAAAGTTCACAAGTTGCTACGATTCTTAGATGTAATGGAGGTAATTTTGGTCATTGAAGCGAGGATTAACCACTTAGAGTAGCAGGATTATCCTGCTATCTGTCTGCTGGATGTCGCTATGTCTGCTGCATTTCACTATGCATTTTGTGAGTGAAAATGCAGATGGGAAGATGTGGTGGTGGCTGTGGGATAGTGGTAGAGGCTGTGGAATAGTGGTAGAAGCTGTGGGATAGTGGTAAAGACTGTGGAATAGTGGTAGAAGCTGTGGAATAGTGGTAGAAGGTGTGGGATAGTGGTAGCAGCTGTGGGATAGTGGTAGAAGCTGAGGGATAGTGGTAGAGGCTGTGGAATAGTGGTAAAGGCTGTGGAATAGTGGTAGAAGGTGTGGGATAGTGGTAGCAGCTGTGGGATAGTGGTAGAGGCTGTGGGATAGTGGTAGAAGCTGTGGGATAGTGGTAGAAGCTGAGGGATAGTGGTAGAGGCTGTGGAATAGTGGTAAAGGCTGTGGAATAGTGGTAGAAGGTGTGGGATAGTGGTAGCAGCTGTGGGATAGTGGTAGAGGCTGTGGGATAGTGGTAGAAGGCTGTGGAATAGTGGTAGAAGGTGTGGGATAGTGGTGGTGGCTCTGGGATAGTGGTAGAAGACTGTGGGATAGTGGTAGCAGCTGTGGGATAGTGGTAGAGGCTGTGGGATAGTGGTAGAAGGCTGTGGAATAGTGGTAGAAGGTGTGGGATAGTGGTAGAAGCTGTAGGATAGTGGTAGAAGGCTGTGGGATAGTGGTAGAGGCTGTGGGATAGTGGTAGAGGCTGTGGGATAGTGGTAGAGGCTGTGGGATAGTGGTAGAGGCTGTGGGGTAGTGATAGAACCTGTGGGATTGTGGTAGTAGTGGTGGTTGTGGGCTGGTAGCTGTGGTGGAGGCCCATGTGCTGGTAGTAGTGGTTTTAGTGACGACTATTTGCAATGGTGGTAGTTAAGGATGAATGGTGGTAGTAGTGGAGGCTGTGGGATGGTAGTTAGTAGAGTGGTGGTTGAGCCTGTGGGATGGTAGTTAGTAGAGTGGTGGTTGAGCCTGTGGGATGGTAGTTAGTAGAGTGGTGGTTGAGCCTGTGGGATGGTAGTTAGTAGAGTGGTGGTTGAGCCTGTGGGATGGTAGTTAGTAGAGTGGTGGTTGAGCCTGTGGGATGGTAGTTAGTAGAGTGGTGGTTGAGCCTGTGGGATGGTAGTTAGTAGAGTGGTGGTTGAGCCTGTGGGATGGTAGTTAGTAGAGTGGTGGTTGAGCCTGTGGGATGGTAGTTAGTAGAGTGGTGGTTGAGCCTGTGGGATGGTAGTTAGTAGAGTGGTGGTTGAGCCTGTGGGATGGTAGTTAGTAGAGTGGTGGTTGAGCCTGTGGGATGGTAGTTAGTAGAGTGGTGGTTGAGCCTGTGGGATGGTAGTTAGTAGAGTGGTGGTTGAGCCTGTGGGATGGTAGTTAGTAGAGTGGTGGTTGAGCCTGTGGGATGGTAGTTAGTAGAGTGGTGGTTGAGCCTGTGGGATGGTAGTTAGTAGAGTGGTGGTTGAGCCTGTGGGTAGATTACATGTCCCAAAATGAATTTGTTTCCACAAGTGAGTGTGTCGTTGTAAAGTCATATGATAAATGACCATCGAGAGAATATTGTAAATGTCTGTTGTTCAAATCCTCCCTTAAGACTCCATTTTCTGTTAGATATGGGCCAACTTAGCTAATATTGCCTAGTTAATATGAACAAATCCACAAGGGCCGTGACGAGGATTCGATCCAGTAAGTTCAGTAGAACTTCGGTTTCAACCCATTTAACCCTGTCGTAGCTCAGTCGATTAAGGCAGTGTCTGGGATGCTCCCGGACGCAGGTTCGAATCCTCGTCACGGCCCTTGTGGATTTGTTCATTTGATGCATCACGTTAGTGTGATCTCTGTGTGTGTTGCCTAGTTAATATCATTCAGGATATTTCAACATCTAAATTCTCAATTTTGTATTGGACGACATAGAGATAAATCACTTTGATTCGCTCTTCGCTACACATTAATGGTATTCACTGTCTTTCCTGGACAAAGAAATCACGTTAACTTGGTGGCTACCAAAGTTAATGCTTGGGATCGAATCCCAGAGCATAGGTTCGAATCTTCGTCACGGCTCCTCTGATTTACTGAAAGTCTTCCTTCAAATACCGAGAGACTATTTGAATATCGCTTTATTTTCTATCTTATGGGTACCACTTTCTAGCCAAATGTCCCTTCAAAACAGACTCAGACAACGTGTTACACTTTTTAATAAATTTCTAGGTTCCAGACCCAACCCATTTGGTCTGGCAGAGCGACGGTCTCGCTTCATGCAGGTCGGTGTTCAATCCCCGACTGTCTATTCCATGAGGCTGAGCACCATTTCTTCCCTCCGTCCCATCTTAAATCCTTATCCTGACCCCTTCCAAGTGCTATATAGTCGTAATGGCTTGGCGCTTTCCCCCCCTGATAATTCCTTCCTTTCGGGGTTCCAGTCTGAGTATAGTTACTAAGTCTCTAATGCCTTTCTCCTAGACGATCCACAGAGGAGCCTCCGGCGTTCTTCACAACACAAGATGTCAACATTCGCCCCTTGCAGAAACCCCACGAGGAGCTGCACATGTTAATTCTACATTCGCTCCCTTCGCCTTAGCGGGCTTCCAAGGACAAAACTAATCTTATTCTTCCCCTTCAATCTCGCTACTCTCCCGCTAGAGGGCCTTGAGTTTCAACTGGATCTACAGATATCATAACCACATTAGCGGATCCGGCACAGAGATTCTTAGCCTTGACTTTAAGTCTCAGGGGCCAGATTCACGAAAGCACTTACGCAAATACTTACGAACCTGTACATCTTTTCTCAATCTTTGACGGCTTTGTTTCCAATTATTAAACAGTTTACAAGCATGAAAACTTGCCAATCAACTGTTGTTATTGTTATAAACAGCCTCCTGGTGCTTCGGAGCTCATTAACTGTTTAATAATTGTAAACAAAGCCGCCAAAGATTGAGAAAAGATGTACAGGTTCGTAAGTTCTTGCGTAAGTTCTTTCGTGAATCTGGCCCCAGAATCCTCAGCTATTTGTCTCGAACAACGTGTTGAAAGCAGTCGATGAGTCACAATAACGTGGCTGAAGATATGTTGACCAGACCACACACTAGAAGGTGAAGGGACGACGACGTTTCGGTCCGTCCTGGACCATTCTCAAGACGATTACACACTAGAAAGTGAAGTGACGACGACGTTTCGGTCCGTCCTGGACCATTCTCAAGTCGATTACACACTAGAAAGTGAAGTGACGACGACGTTTCGGTCCGTTCAGGACCATTCTCAAGTCGATTACACACTAGAAAGTGAAGTGACGACGACGTTTCGGTCCGTCCTGGACCATTCTCAAGTCGATTACACACTAGAAAGTGAAGTGACGACGACGTTTCGGTCCGTCCTGGACCATTCTGAAGTCACAATCGACTTGAGAATGGTCCAGGACTTACCGAAACGTCGTCGTCCCTTCACCTTCTAGTGTGTGGTCTGGTCAACATATCAACCACGTTATTGTGACTCCTCGCCTGCATACAGGATGATTGTTATATCCAATTTAAACAGGCAATTGATACCTAACGACTGATACCAACTGAGGAAGATTAGAAGCATCTTGTAGCCAGAACTCAGATACTTGAAGATAGTTGAAATTGGACAGATGTAAACACACATATGTTTATTTACAAACCGGGTTATTTAGACAGGTGGTTAACTGGTATTTCTTGTTTGCTTACTTGCAGGGTTTGAGCGCCAGGTACCTGGGTATCCTCGCTACAGCTACTCAGGTGACCCGGCACTAGGACAACATCACCTGGTGATCAGTGGTATCACCATCACTGAGGACGGAGAGTACCAGTGTCAAGTTGGTCCCACCCAGACCAACCCGCCCATCTGGGCGGCTGCCAATGTTACTGTGCTGGGTGAGTGTGTGTGTGGGAGGGTGTGGGAGGGTGTGGGAGGGTGTGGGAGAGTGTGGGAGGGTGTGGGAGGGTGTGGGAGGGTGTGGGGGAGTGTGGGAGGGTGTGGGAGGGTGTGGGAGAGTGTGGGAAGGTGTGGGAGGGTGTGGGAGGGTGTGGGAGGGTGTGGGAGGGTGTGGGAGGGTGTGGGAGAGTGTGGGAAGGTGTGGGAGGGTGTGGGAGAGTGTGGGAGAGTATGGGAGGGTGTGTGAGAGTGTGGGAGAGTGTGGGAGAGTGTGGGAGAGTGTGGGAGGGTATAGGGGAGTGTGGGAGGGTGTGAGAGAGTGTGGGAGAGTGTGGGAGGGTGTGGGAGAGTGTGTCAGAGTGTGGGAGAGTGTGGGAGGGTGTGAGAGAGTGTGGGAGAGTGTGGGAGAGTGTGGGAGAGTGTGGGAGGGTATAGGGGAGTGTGGGAGAGTGTGAGAGAGTGTGGAAGAGTGCAGAGTGAATGTGGGAAGAGTGCCAGATGGAATCACCCCTTCTCCTACCTACATGCCCACCAATATAACTATTATAAGATGACACATAATGAAAAACAGGAACCTCGTCCCACTGAATCGGGTGAGAAATCTATCCATACATAACAAACTTCTCTCCCTATCCCTTCAGTGGCTCCTACAGGCATCACCATCCTTGGCTGGAAGGACGGGGCTGTAGTGGAGATTCGATCCGGTGCCTCGGTCACTCTCGAATGCCTGGTGACTGATTCACGACCCGTGGCCTCCATAATGTGGCATAAAGATGGTCACCTTCTTGACCCAGGTAAGCAACGTTTCTGGCGACCAACGACAGGAGGGTTGAGTATCTGCTGCATGGGTAACAGCTTCTCTCACGTATCAACCTACCCTGGCTTTGTGCCCTAGAGAGGCCACTCCAGACCGACAACCAGACACCATAGTGTCCTGAAACTGATGGATGTCTACTAACTACTGAATATACCTTATACTCACGAGTCTTGGGTATACTTGTAGTATCCAGTAAGTATACCTATTAGTACTTATTAGGCATTACTCATAGTGCTCTACCTATAAGCTTTTCCATTATAATTTAACTCTTCTGACGTTCTAAATCTTTGTGATTGGCTGAACTCCTAGCTCTCAACCAATCACCAATCAATTACTGATTACATTTTAACTCTTCCTCCCCAGTTTGGGATTGGGGAGGAAGTGACGTCACAACTTAGCCGGACGCCATCTTTAATGCCCCCCAAAAACATTTTCTTGACTCATTTATCATCAATACATTGCAAAAATTAACTAAATCAAATATATAATATTTATTTCGACATTTATATCTGTGTATTGAGTGAAGGCACTCACAAAGTTCACGAGTACTGTGGTTTTGGTACTCAATGTTAGAGTGGCTTGATAGTACATGCACTCAAGTGTCAAACTGGCATCATAGTACATGCACTCAAGTGTCTAATTGGTATGATAGTACATGCACTCATTGTCAAACTGGTATGATAGTACATGCACTCAAGTGTCAAATTGGTATGATAGTACATGCACTCATTGTCAAACTGGCATCATAGTACATGCGCTCAAGTGTCTAATTGGTATGATAGTACATGCACTCATTGTCAAACTGGCATCATAGTACATGCGCTCAAGTGTCTAATTGGTATGATAGTACATGCACTCATTGTCAAACTGGCATCATAGTACATGCACTCATTGTCAAACTGGTATGATAGTACATGCACTCAAGTGTCTAATTGGTATGATAGTACATGCACTCATTGTCAAACTGGTATGATAGTACATGCACTCAAGTGTCTAATTGGTATGATAGTACATGCACTCAAGCGTCAAACTGGCGTCATAGTACATGCACTCAAGTGTCAAATTGGTATGATAGTACATGCACTCAAGTGTCAAACTGGTATGATAGTACATGCACTCAAGTGTCTAATTGGTATGATAGTACATGCACTCATTGTCAAATTGGTTTGATAGTACATGCACTCAGAGCCAGATTGGCGCGATAATACACTCAAAGTCGCACTTGGATCATGATACATTTCAGGCGTTACACTCGGGGTGTCACAATATTCACTCAGTGCCAACACTAATAGTTCGTTTGCTCCACCGCAGGGCTGGTGGAGGAGAGGGTGGAGGCGTCGTCTCTGGTGCGTCGTTGGAGCGTCAGGAGCCGGATAGCGTTGACGGCGTCGCCAGAGGACGACGGCAAGTTGTTTACTTGTGAGGCAGACCATCCGGCTCTGAGGGGGAGCTCCGACCCCTTGCTGGCCTCCATCACCCTCTCCGTCCTCCGTGAGTACCTCCACCATACTCTTAGGGGGGCTTTGATCCCCCTGGTAGCCTCCAGTTCCCTCTCAGGGGCGCTTCGACGCCCCTGGTAGCCTCCAGTTCACTCTCAGCGGGGCTTCGACCCCCCTGGTAGCCTCCAGTTCACTCTCAGCGGGGCTTCGACCCCCCTGGTAGCCTCCAGTTCACTCTCAGGGGGGCTTCGACGCCCCTGGTAGCCTCGACTCTACTCTCAGGGGGGCTTCGACGCCCCTGGTAGCCTCGACTCTACTCTCAGGGGGGCTTCGACGCCCCTGGTAGCCTCCAGTTCACTCCCAGGGGGGCTTCGACCCCCTGGTAGCCTCCAGTTCCCTCTCAGGGGGGCTTCGACCCCCTGGTAGCCTCCAGTTCACTCCCAGGGGGGCTTCGACCCCCCTGGTAGCCTCCAGTTCACTCTCAGGGGGGCTTCGACGCCCCTGGTAGCCTCCAGTTCACTCTCAGGGGGGCTCCGACGCCCCTGGTAGCCTCCACCTCACTCTCAGGGGGGCTTCGACCCCCCTGGTAGCCTCCAGTTCACTCTCAGGGGGGCTTCGACGCCCCTGGTAGCCTCCAGTTCACTCTCAGGGGCGCTTCGACGCCCCTGGTAGCCTCCAGTTCACTCTCAGGGGGGCTTCGACGCCCCTGGTAGCCTCCAGTTCACTCTCAGGGGGGCTTCGACGCCCCTGGTAGCCTCCACCTCACTCTCAGGGGGGCTTCGACCCCTTGGTAGCCTCCACTCTAATCTCAGGGGGGCTTCGACCCCCTGGCAGCCTCCATCCCTCTCTCAGGGGGGGCTTCGACCCCCCTGGAAGCCTCCAGTTCACTCTCAGGGGGGCTCAGACTTAGAAGATATATCGTATTTTTTAGTGTATAAATCCCCCCCAAGACCAAAATTGATATATTAAAAAATCATATTAGCTCGCAAAATAGACGTGATGTTCCGTTTTCTATTGGTGGGTCCCCGGTTAGGTTAGGTTCGGGTAATTTAGTACGTCAGTTTAGTGACGTTGTTACCGCTCGAGACAGGCTGAGCTCCGACGCTTTAGTATACAAAGTATACTTTAGTAAACAAGGTATACATAGAACTTTCCATGATGTTAGAAATTAAGTATTGCTGTTGACAAATTGGTTCACCACAAATATATATGTGGATGATATTGTAAAGGTCATTGGCTCTTATGTACCTAAAGTCAGGTCAGGCAGGTCAACAGAGACATGTCAACTACGTGAAAGATATAACATAGATAATATAGTTGACAAGAATTGTATTTTCTAATCTGTTCAGACTCTAAGGCAAGAAAATTTAGCTTTCCTCATTTTCATGGTATAAACTTAAGTTTTGTTAGTATATAACTTCATTATAATTATATATAGTTGTATAAATATTTTTGCTCTTAAAAATTTGGAGGAATGCCGACAGATAGATAGATAGATAGATAGATAGATAGATAGATAGATAGATAGATAGATAGATAGATAGATAGATAGAAGATTACTCAATGGGCTGGCGAGGAAAATTAGACAGGAGATAAAGGGTTTGAAGATAAGATATCATTTTTAGGGTGGTAGACAGTGTCAGGGTTTAACCAGCTGTCTGTCACCCTCCTAACTGTCATCCACCTGACCTGTCACCCACCTACCTGTCACCCACCTACCTGTCACCCACCTACCTGTCACCCACCTACCTGTCACTCATCATACATTTGCATGTGACATCATTTCACACTCAAATTATAAATAAGTACAAAAATATAAAAAAAATCCTGAATTCTTCAAGTTTTTCTATAATTCTGAAAAAACATATTTCGAAATATTAAATGATATTTAGGCAACAGAGGAAAAAGAATTAAGATTGATCTCCCTCGTCAAAATATTTCTCCTGCAATTTTGTATTCAATTTCCTAGATGATTTAATGCTTCAAATACAGACTCTCTAACACAGATGAGGCGTGTCTGGTCTCTGTGTATTTTGCAAAGACCACTAAATATACACCCAACACACATTTTGTTTCACTACACCTCTCTCTCTCCTTCGAATGCATCAGACCAAACAAGGGATGCAACATGGAACAGAGAGAGAGAAACGCCCTCTGTCTTAACATAGTAGATTCCGACTCTCTAATTCTCCTTAAAACCTGAAATAATTATGGAACTTTGGTAACAAATTGGAAGCCGAAATATACAGATACAGACGAGGAGTCACAATAACGTGGCTGAAATATGTTGACCAAAATATACACTACAAAGTGAAGTTACGACGACGTTTTGGTCCAGGACGGACCGAAACGTCGTCGTCCCTTCACTTTCTAATGTGTGGTTTGCAACCTCTGGTCGACAAATATGTGTCTCTGGCAGCGACATACAAGTGAAAAATAATCTTTATTCCTTGGTCGAAATTACGATCTTGGGGCAGTAATACATATGTGTCTATGTATTCAGTATTCACCATACATATCATACAATGTATGATATGTAGGGTGAATGATTGGCTCTTTGATTCTTCTGGCTCTTTGATTGGGACCAAAGAGCCAGAGCTCAACCCACCTGCAAGCACAATTAGGTGAGTAGAATGTAATATAGATTTAATACAGTGTATATTTTCGATATATATATACACCTAGAGATTTACCCGCCTTTTCGATGTATATATACACTGGGTATATACATCGTATATAATTTATACGATGTATAAGTTTATACGAAAGTATAATTTAGTCCTTGACTAAACAAAACTCGGTTATAGGACAAAATGTATTCAAGTTGTATGATCGTTAAGCAATTATCGTGACCTTAATAACCTTCCAAAAAGTCAAAGGACAATATTACAATCTTCATATAAATTCCTTGTAATATAAATCTCATTTTCAAGAATCCTGACTATACCATAACTTCCTGTTCAACTATACATGGGTGAGTATACATACCTACCTATTCATATGTATAAGGTAAAAACCTTCATTCTAACCTCTATAAGGACAACGAACTGGGATATGAGGAGAAGGAGCTAGGATAGAACAAAGCTATTAACAACCACCTGAACTATTGGGGGATTGAACGCTGACCTGCAAGAAATGAGACCACCGCTCTTCTCATCATTTAGAATAGACTTTAGCTCACTGTTTTGCAATTCCATGCTAAGTAAACACCTTTTGTAATAGGTATTTGCCTATTACAAACTCAGAATAGGAGAGGTTCTTCATTTCCATTGAGATTTCCACCTTTTGAAGATTTAATCCCAAGGAGCGTGACTCAAGGGCACCTGACGCAGGGTCGTTGACGCAATTGTGCGTGACGCACCTGGACCTTAGGGCAGCTGAATCAGTGGGACCTGAAGCCATCTGAAGCAGCCTTGTTTGACGAAGAGGAACCCGATGACAGCTGAAGCAGCCTGGATTGACGCAGTGGGACCTGAGGCTGCCTTGCTTGACGCAAGCCACCTGAGGCTGCCTTGCTTGACGCAAGCCACCTGAAGCAGCCTTGCCTGACGGAGTTGCACAAGAGTTGCAGATATTGACGAATAAATCACAAGCATTGAGCAAAGAGAAAGTTTAAAGTTGATGTTGAGCAAAAATGAGTTTTGCCGCGGCTGAAAAGACCTGTTTGGCTGTGAAGAATTTTGTGTATGACCAGAGTATGAAGTTCTGTATGTCCTAGCGGGTCATTCATACACCAGGACAGCCACGGAGTGGCTCTGATTGGCCTGCGCAAGGTACGGAGTATCTCTGATTGGCCTGCGCAAGGGACGGGTTATCTCTGATTGGCCTGCGCAAGGGACGGAGTATCTCTAATTGGCCTGCGCAAGGGACGGGTTATCTCTGATTGGCCTGCGCAAGGTACGGAGTATCTCTGATTGGCCTGCGCAAGGTACGAAGTATCTCTGATTGGCCTGCGCAAGGGACGGGTTATCTCTGATTGGCCTGCGCAAGGGACGGAGTATCTCTAATTGGCCTGCGCAAGGGACGGGTTATCTCTGATTGGCCTGCGCAAGGGACGGAGTATCTCTAATTGGCCTGCGCAAGGGACGGGTTATCTCTGATTGGCCTGCGCAAGGGACGGAGTATCTCTGATTGGCCTGCGCAAGGGACGGAGTATCTCTAATTGGCCTGCGCAAGGGACGGGTTATTTCTGATTGGCCTGCGCAAGATACGGAGTATCTCTGATTGGCCTGCGCAAGATACGGAGTATCTCTGATTGGCCTGCGCAAGGGACGGAGTATCTCTAATTGGCCTGCGCAAGGGACGGGTTATTTCTGATTGGCCTGCGCAAGATACGGAGTATCTCTGATTGGCCTGCGCAAGATACGGAGTATCTCTGATTGGCCCCTCATACATAAGCGATCATTTGCATTTCCAAAACGAATAAAACCAACATTACAGAACAACGAAACTTCAAACGTCTGCGAAAATCAGCAAATCACATCACAAGAAATTTCCTTGCTTGCAGCCCGGGTACTTGGATATGCCTTTTGGGCATCTATTCACTTCTCTCTCATATCTAAAGCGCAATCAAAGAATATCAAGTCGAGTAGAGAGACTGTGGAATGAGATGGAGACCTGGGTTAGACTCCGTCAAATATTTACTCAAGCAAATACGAAACCTTTGCATCTTCCCTTAATCATGGTGGCTTTGTTCATTTTGATTTAACTCTGAAACACTTCGAAGTTGCAGACGAAGAGTCACAATAACGTGGCTGAAATATGTTGATCAGACCACATACTAGAAAGTGAAGGGACGACGACGTTTCGGTCCGTCTTGGACCATTCTCAAGTCGATTGTCAACTTGAATAGACTTGAGAATTGGTCCAGGACGGACCGAAACGTCGTCGTCCCTTCACTTTCTAGTGTGTGGTCTGGTCAACACGGCGAAGTTGTTTATAACAATAACAACGTTTGGGTTGTGAAGTTTCTAACCTCATAGACTATTTAATAAATATAAACAAACGTGCTATTAAAGAAAGATGTACAGGTTTCGTTAATAGATGAGAAAA